AGATTAAATCTGGCAAATAAACCACCTTGCATTATCTAAGCAAAGCTTGACTGGAGGTGGGATAGCAAAAGAATTAAACAGTGGGTTTAACTATTTGTTTATATTTTTAAGAGCCAACACCAAAATAAGATCAAAGAGTGTTATATTTCAGGTTTAAAGCTCCGGCACACTCTGTGGCGAGCCATCTGGCCTAACCATCATACAGTTCTACACCCATGTCTGTCATTAGAGCCAATATTCCAACATGCCCCACACTAATTCATTTGTGAGGTCTTCTAGACCTCCACATTTCCTGGAGAAACCATGATTCATTTCACAGAGAGCCAAATGGTCATTTTTCAACATTTGGAATGAAAATTTGCTGACCATTTCTTGTTTTCATTTCATGGAACATTAAAATATGTTTTTTTTAGTTTGGATGTAACCAATTTGAGCAATAACCTGACATACAGAATCAAACTTAGATGATGAAGTACCAACAGACCTTCTTGTCAGAAAAAATGATCAATATGTCTGGAACACAGGATGCATAAGTACATTTTCATAAGCAAAATGCAGGCCAAAAATTAACAAAAAGTTTAATGCTGTTGGATACTATTATACAATCTCTCCCATCTTGTTTATCTGTTGACACTGTAAAATACACCCAACCTTCTTTTCTCTTGCTTTCTTTTTAACTTTTTAAGACATATTTCCTGCAGTATTTTATGCACAGAGAGACCTGAATCCCTTCTCCAACTCAAGAGATCATGCATTTGCTCCTGTCACTCTTATAGATCTGTCCCTACTCTTACTGCTGAAGATCAGTTCTTATTATAACTGCTACAGACCAATCCTACCCTGACTGCTATAGACCAATCCTACCCTGACTGCTACAGACCAATCCTACCCTGACTGCTACAGACCAATTCCTACCCTGACTGCTAGAGATCAGTCCGTACTCTGACTGCTACAGACCAATCCCTACCCTGACTGCTACAGACCAATCCCTACCCTGACTGCTAGAGACCAATCTCTACCCTGACTGCTACAGACCAATCCTACCCTGACTGCTATAGACCAATCCTACCCTGACTGCTACAGACCAATCCTACCCTGACTGCTACAGACCAATCCCTACCCTGACTGCTACAGACCAATCCTACCCTGACTGCTACAGACCAATCCTACCCTGACTGCTACAGACCAATCCTACCCTGACTGCTACAGACCAATCCTACCCTGACTGCTACAGACCAATCCCTACCCTGACTGCAAAAGATAAATCCCTAGACTGCTACAGATCAATCCCTACCCTGACTGCTACAGAATCCCTACCCTGACTGCTACAGAGAATAGTCCCTACCCTGACTGCTACTGCTAGAAACCTTTCCCTGACTCTACTTCCTCTGACTGCTAGGGATAAGTCCCTATTCTAAATGCTAGATCGATCCTTATTCTAAATCTAAAGATTAGTACTAATAGAAGTCATTCCATAGGATTTTAGATATCATGCACCATAAAAATAACCAAATTTAGAAATGATTTATTTTATAAACCGATAAAAAAAAGTTTTACTCTTTTGTATCCTTAACAGACAGGAGGTTCTCTTTTGTGTCTTTACTACTATAACTTGTGCAAGAGATCATCCCTACCCTGACTGCTACACTTAAATCCCTACCCTGACTGCTATACTCCTTACTCTGACTGCTATAATCCCTACCTTGACTACTACAGATCAATCCCTACCCTGTTTAGATCCCAGATAGGACTGCTAACCCTGACTGCTACAGATCAATCCCTACCCTGACTGCTACAGACCAATCCCTACCCTGACTGCTACAGACCAATCCCTACCCTGACTGCTACAGACCAATCCCTACCCTGACTGCTACAGATCAATCCCTACCCTGACTGCTACAGATCAATCCTTACCCTGACTGCTATAGAGTTCAGTCCCTATACTCTGACTGCAAAAAGATAAGTCCTTCCTCTGACTGCTATATAGATCAGTCCCTATACTCTGACTGCAAAAGATAAGTCCTTCCTCTGACTGCTATATAGATCAGTCCCTATAGTCTGACTGCAAAAGATAAGTCCTTCTTCTGACTGCTATATAGATCAGTCCCTATACTCTGACTGCAAAAGATAAGTCCTTCCTCTGACTGCTATAGAGATCAGTCCCTAAATCAGTAATAATGAGGACAACAAATAGTGAAATTTTCCACTAAAAAGATTAATTTTGGCCTACAGACTTAGAATCTAGAAGATTCAACCCATATGGACCTGACGGCTAGAAACCACTCCTTCCTCTGACTGTTAGGGATAAGTCCCTATTCTAAATGCTATAGATCGAACCTACCAGCACCATAAAAAAATAACCAAAATTTAAAAATGATTTATTTTACAAACCGATAAAAAAAGTTTTACTCTTTTGTGTTCCTTGGACTAACTTAAGGTGCTTCACCCCAGCTGACTTGTCATAATCAGCAGTACTCCCTCTAAATTCAAATCCTGGACCTGCCCCCTGTTAACTGCAAAATTTATATCTGAAGATTGTTTGCAATTAGCTGAGATTTAAGAGAAATAAACTAGCTTTTTTATTATCTGTATTGATTTCCAGCAAAGTCCTTATGATTCAAGATACAAAAGCTACCTGCTTATAAGATCATTCAACATCAATGTACTTGTGTGTTGGTCAATACAGTGCACCGGCTGACCTCCGGTATCCAATTTCAAGGATCCGAGGGGAGAACTCCATCACTATTCTGCATGATTGGAAACTACAAATACTACAATTATCTTTCCAAAAAGCAATCAATCTTTAGAGATGTTCACTTTAACTCTGATATTGAGAGCGAAGCATTAAAGAAGGAAATACAGTGAACATCAATTAGTGTTGTCACTGAGGCTCTCGGCAAAAATCCCTTCCATCGCAACTTGGGAGATCTTGGCAGAAAGAAAATCCGCTTATGTCACTGTATACAACAGACATATACAAAATGGTGGCGGTAGAGTTCAATTTTAATGAGGAACCTTGTTGCCTGTTGAAACTTTTTTTGAAATTCAAATATACATTTTTTTTTCTTTTAAAAAAAAAAAAAATCAACTCTTAGTTTTAAACTTTATCGACAAATGTTTAATTACAATGTATAGAGAACCTGTAATTCCTAGGCCAATACTTGATATATTTGAACAATCTGAGATAATGCACTTAACTTGCAATCAATGGGAAAGAACCTCGTCTTATAAATATTCCTTTGAAAAAATTTCAGTTAATTTTATGCACCTTAATGAAAGAAGTTGCCAATTGCCTATCATGCGCAATAGAATAAGAATGCAACCACTTCTCAATGAAGTCAAACATGCACAGATCAAGGCCTCATTCACTTACAGAATGCATTAGCAAATAATTGCAAAATCTCATCAATGAAAGAAAAGCTCCAGCAAATTACACGGTATTTCCTCCAACTAAACGCTCCGACACACCCCCTTACGTAAAACGTTTAAAAGATGTACACTAATCAGACATTGATTTCACGTTTTATGAGTCTAGGTTTCTTTTTTGTGATAGAAGATAAATGTTTATATTACACAATACCCTGTGCTCCACATATATTTACCATACAATTAATTACAGGGCGAGTCAAAAGATTCTGACACTCTGACAGACAATTACAGACACCATTTAAGGACACATGGAAATTGGATTCTGATGAAACATTACAGAAGATATAAGAAACAACTTTGCTGTGAAAGCAATGAATGTTTATACACTTTTAGCACCTTTTGTTGTGTACATAAAATCACGTTCTTACGTACTTGTTCACAATAGAAGTTGCAGAGAAATATGCAAACACTTAAAAGCTGCACAAAAACAAATGCAGGATTTTTTTCAAGGTTCATAGCAAATGATGGCATTTTGTTAGACTGAGTTTATTGATGTTTGTTTTCAAACACAGTTTATCATTTGATTTTTTTATCAATTTTTATGTACTCCAGATTTGAATAATTTGTTTATAACCTTTTCTTTGCATTTCTTACATTCTCTCTCACACACATGCATGCATACAGATAAAATTAAAAGAAAAACAGTCAGAAAGACGGGAAATGCAAGTTCCAACATGAAAATTAACTTTATCAGAAACATTTGATTTTTTATGTTCTCCAAAATTAGGAATCACTCTAAATATTGAAAGAAAACAATGATGCAAGTAATTTCTCTGCATGAATGTAAATTTTATTTTAAATTTTCAAAGTGAAAGTGAAAGTTGGAACAATAATGTAATACTATAATAAAGTAATGAGAAATATATATATAATGTTATAATTTTTGTTTTCAAATTACATGTATGTGTTGAAAAAATTTAAATGTAACATTTTCCTAACGTTTACCAATTTCAAAGTCAAATTTCTCTCTCCATCAGAATTTCTTTCTTCATGGTACCCCTTATCCCAACATTTTTCTTTCAACCACAAAATGTCTATGAAAAATCCAGTTAAAAGCTCCACTTGCAATAACTTGGGTCCCCCACTTGTTAGAATGATTAGCACCTGTTTCAGCCCTTAAACTTCACCAATACCTCCACATTCTCCTAGCAGAGAATGCCAAACCCCATTGATTATCCTGCTTAAAACAAAACTATTTTTTGCAATATTCAAATAAATGGTGTCAATTAGCTTAACTTGTGTGCAAACTTTCATCCATCTTTTCTACACAATTTCATCCATTTCTGGGTTTTTGGAACCCTTTGCTGTCCCTGATGATTCTTAACTTCTAAAACATGACTTTCAAATGTCAGTTTAGAAATGTTTTTTCAAGGTTTCACCTTAATTGCATAGAAATACTTAGGAATAATGTTTGTTCAAGTGAAATTCTGAAGATTCCAATTGCTTTCAAGTATAATGGCACAAATATATTGTTCATTTGTTTAAGCAAAAAAATCAAATGAAATAAAATAACACTGCAGTAGATAAGCATCCCAACTTTGTAAAAGATAAATAACAAAAAAATAAGAATTGTAGGAAATGGGAATTTAATAAATTTGAAATAAATCCTACAGATAATTCAGAGGTAGAAAATTTGATCTAATAAATCATTTACTCATTAGAGAAGTATATACAACTTTTTTCCCTCAAGTTCAAAAACCTGATCAAACAATATGGTACTGAATTTAGTTAATCTCACACAACAAAATATTAAATGTCTCAGGAACCAAATACCGAAAATGATTTTTGAAGACTGCTGGAGCAGAATTTTATTCTTATTTTTGACCAAATCTTTCTACAAACAATCATAATACAATTTCAAATGACTAATTGCTTCTTGTGGCCATTTTGTTTTTCAGTTATATGGCAATTTTCTTAATTTGTTGTGTCTAATCAAGCATTTGAACTCACACATGTACGACTAAGATTGCTAATACAAATTATCACATTTTTCATATACAAAGCATTTTTAACAAGGCAATTTAACAACAAATTCAATTCGTAATAAAAAAGTCAGAAAACTTTCTCTCACACATCTTTTCAAGATACACCTTTTGTAAATACTATATATGATATATAGCTTAGAATAGCAGAGTCTGGCAACAAATGCATGCATGGAGGCTTAGAGTATTTTGGGACATTTTTCAATGCACTGGATATGCAAAGGATTAAAAAATAAACTGGTTTAATAAAAACCATTGAGAAAATGGAATACAAAATAATCTATGTTCGAGAAACAGTTTAATCACATGATAACTCAATTTAATAGAAGGCTGTTCTTAGACTAGCTATCACTTCGCATAATGAGCAAATAGCTTTATGGAGAAGTAAAGCTATTTCCTCACTTGAAGTTTTACTGAGTATCTGGGAGATTTGTATAGACTTCTCCTTTCACTGCCTTATGTTACCAGACTCGGACAATTTGACAGCAGTGTTACAGCAGCAGAGAATAAATGGTTCTGCAATACTGGAACTCATTTCATCTTAATGAAAATAGATCTAACAATGATTAACAAATCACAACAATTAATAAAAATGGCCATCAATCTAACCTCAAATCATTCATACACTTAATATATCACAAATGTAATAATAAAAAATATTTCCATTTCTCCAACAAATGAACCATAAACATCAAACAGCCATACCATATTATACATATAATACATAATGCATCAATCATCAATGAAAATTTAAAATCTTAATTAATAAACAACAGTGCAATTAACAGTCACAATATCTATTTCTTGATTATGGAATATGCATGAAGTTTTAACATAATTTATCTACTGGTACATGTATCTGAATATAAAAGTTAATTTTTAGTCATTTTTTCTGCAAAATGATTAAATTATATGATTTTTACAACCAAAACATGAATTTAGCAAAATTTTCTAGCTATCAAGCAAGACAATTTCAAAGTATAAAAAGGCTTTCACTTCTGCATTTAATTAAATCAAAATCAACTGTTTCATAGGCTTAAAAAATGGAATTTTTCTTGATGGAACAGTTCGTATTCACATGAACACTCTGTGCAACCACCCAACAAAGATGGCTGCTCATACTCAGAATCATGGTCATAACAATGTTTTGATCTAATGGCACATTGCACCATTATCTGACACCAGAAACCCACAAAATCACCAGGATTAGGGAAAAAAATGTCAGCAAAAAAGTTCCATCACTTTCCCTTCCTGGGGCTGAATTAGAAAAATCATAGCCAGAGCCAGTACAGTTATAAGGATCCTCTGGAATATGACCAGAGGGACACTTGCATAGGTATGACCCTATTGTGTTCTCACAGATAGTTTGACCATTGCAGTGGTGACCATACTTTCCTCCTTTTGTTAGGCATTCATCAACATCTGAAATAAGAAAAAAAATATATAAGTAATTGTGTAAGCCTATTAACTGCAACCAAATTTAAGGAGCACATGAACTTGAAATATAACTTGGTGTTGTTAGTCTTAAATCAGATGATAAAACTCTGTCAACTCATGTATTTCTATTTTTCCCATTTGTTTTTTTAATTCTCCTGTAAGATTTGGGGGTATCTGTCTGTCTGTCTAGCTGTCTGACTGTCTGTTTGTGCACAAGAACTTTAACCGTCCCAATAACATTTAACTAGTTGAAGGTCTGGCTTTCATGTGTCACGTGTTCATTCCATGTCACAAGATCTTTCTTTGAGTACCAAAATATATGACCTATTGACCTTGAACTTTGAGTTTGACCCACTTTTACAGAAAATAATCAAAATTTAAGCCTGGCCATGTCTTTTAAACAGTTGGTGATATGGCTTTTATACTTCACAAGTGTATTCATTATGACAGGACCTTTCTTTGGATATAAATATTTTTGACCATTTTACCTTGGCCTTAAAAATTGACCCCTTTCTAAAAAGTGTAACCTTGGCAATGACTCTTGAAAATTTTTTACTAGGACTCTCATATGTCTTATTTCAGGATCTACCTTTGGATACCAACAATTTTGACAATCAACCTTAGCAATATACTGTAGATTCCTAAATATACGCGTGGAATTAATTATCGCGTAATTTCGCGAGAAGCACCACACGCGAAATTAAATTATTCGCCTTTTTTTTATGGTGCTGAAATCTATGTTAAAACACTTGATCAACTGTCCATTCGCAGATTCTTATTCTTGCGATTTGCTGTTGAAGAGCCCATTCTCCATAAAAAGTACTCGCAAAAAATAAGGAATCTACAGTAACTCTTGAACAGTTGAGCTAGAGCTTTTATGTTTGACATGTGTATTTCTTATAACAATGCCTTCCCCTGGATACCAACAAATCTGACCTTTTGACCTTGACATTGGAGTTTGACCCACTTTTAAAAAAAATCTTTAACTTTGATATTATTTTTGAACTATTGGTGCTTAGGCTCTCAATTTCCACATGTATTTTTATTGAGACAAGTCCTTTCTTTGGATAATATTTATGATCTCTTGACCTAAGAGTTTGACTTCCATTTGAGAAACTTTAACCTTTGCCATAAGCTGCCACATTTGGCCATCAATGTTTTACAAACGCATCTTGTTTTTGGTGGGAGGGGGAGTTCAAAAGTAAAACATTGGAAACAAATATAAAACCATTGGAAATATTTTTATAACGTATTTACTTCCCATATATCTGCAATAATAAATTATTTTTTTATAGAAGTTGCTTTTCAAGGTCACACATTACCAGAAAGTAAACTGGCTTAAATTAAAATGTCTCTGCAAGCGCATGTACAATTTCAAAAATTATCTTAATATCTCCAAAAACTCAGCACTGTGCCTGTGTTAATACACAAAAAGAATGAGCATTAACACATTTTTATCTAAACCCTTTTGAATTATAACTCTGCACACAATTTTTTTGCTGGAGATAATATATGGACGACTTTCATCTCCCAACAGAATTAAATCAGTTTATCTCCTAAACCACCTTTCAGACTGGTCTTACTCCTATATCCTTTTCTCCTTGAAATAACTGCTACCAGTGGGTCTGAAATTAGTAGCGATAATTTCCCTATTAAAACTCAATGGGGCAAGTTTCATTCTTCTAGTGGTTTGGGAATATTCTCATTGACAGTGAAACCATGGTGAGAAAGAGATACCTATCTGTGGTAATGTAATAAATTTGATTGCTTATCCAACCCGAGGTGAATGGTTTGCAGTGGGAACCACTGCCTTTCCAAACTTCAATGCCCATTTAGAACTTGTTCACTTAAAAAAACATCTTGCAAAACTAGATTACACAATTATATTAATCCCATCCCAAACCATTCCTATTCCTTTGGCATTTTTGTACATGCTACATTCAAACAGAAGAGTTTCAATGGCCATATAGTATACCCTCCTATAGATAATTAAAGGATAATAATGGGGAAAAGGATTGAATTGGAAGTCAATCAAAACATTACATCAGCAATTTTGATTCTATAAATACATCTTCCTTTTTTTTAAACAAGGTTATTCTCAGTGTGGTTAAAAACCAATCTAAAAATTCTACATCTTGGATGTATATCAAAGACAGAAGAAATCCAGTGATTTTGGCAATCATCTTATTCTTAGAAACAGGCTGACCCACATTTTACCCATTTGGCATGCATTGTAGGGAGGTGAGGCTGCTACAAAAGTGTGAAAAACTTAGTGAAGGAAATTTATTGTTGTAATTTAATAAAAAATGCTATATCTTTCTGGCAGACAGTTCTAAATATCCTACTGGGTGTCTGTACTGAATATTGTTACTTAATATCATACACAGTGAAAGGTCAGACTTGGATTGATAGGAAGTGGTGTGCAACATATTTTACATGGTAGAGTGCATAGACATCATAAAATAGTACAGCTTTCAATTTCCTTATTATTATCTCAAGTCAGATTCACATTAAAATTTTCTGAACCTTAAAGCTAAGTTCATGAATTTAATCAAAATAATAAGGGTATTTGTGTAGACTGCAACACCTCTTGTTTCATCTACTTTTATTATTAATTTATTCATTTTCATCAATTCCTACATTTTTTTTTTTTTAAAATGTAATGTAACAGTTGAAACCATATTTTCAAATTTTGACTTCTTGTATATGGAACACTTCTTTAAATATTACTTTAATAAAATTGCTGAGTATGTTGGGTTTCGAAATTTACCTTTGCAATGGACACCGTCTCCACGGTAACCTGGTAAACACTGACAGGCAAACCTGGTTGACAAGTTAATGCAGGATGCATTTGAGTGGCAATTGTTTCCAAGACCACAGAAATCTGTACCTATTGGAATAGAACCAAACCGAATTAGAAATATTACGTTCACATTAATTCATGTAAAAATGCTGATTATCTGCAAATAAATATGATTTACCAACAATGTACCAAGAGATACACAAATCATTTGCACTACAAATGTATAGAAAAATGTTTCTCCTGTTAGAGATTGTATATGCTATCAGTGCATTGGTGAGCATAATTTGATTTCTCTGCGAGTAATCTAGTGCAAACCATCTTCATCTTAAATACCTTTCTTTTTGATGTTTAAAAGCTAGTACTTTGAAATTCAAAGAAAAATATTTGAAAAATATCGTTTTGTAGTTGATGATTTTTTTGAATATGGATGCTCTATCTAGCTACAAATGGACAACGATTGCATAATAAGCCCTCGATATTCCCCCAAAAGTATTGATCCCCATTTCTATGGACTTCTTCTTAGCAGACATGAGTCACGTTTCCTTGACACAGTCTGCCCTCACTCTGTGTAACATGACACATTTCTCTTCCTTTTGGTGTGGACTACAGACAGTCTTACATCAGTTTATTGGTCCCACGAGGAACCGAGATGTTAAGTATCATGCTAGCTGATATAGATTCCATCACATAGACATGCAAAATGTTCATTGGGGTGAAGGGGATCAGAGAAAGCACAAAGATACAAAGTACTCCTGAAAATAAAACTTTCTGCAGTGTTTTTTGGGAGAAAAATGTTTATTTGTAAATTTTAATTATAGTTTTTACCTTTTAATTCTTAAAATTTTTCATTTTTATTAACTGGAAGGAAAGGACAAAATGGACTTTCAATTTATGTTTGATTAAAATTAATACTTTTTTCTAACAGAAAATCATTTAATTAACAAATAATAATACTAATGTCACTGTGTTAAAATTTTTTGCTTTATTGCCAAAACCTTCATTATATCAAAGTGCAGGATCATTCTATGTGAACTGTATAATATGATACAAATACTAACAAAGCCCATGGCTCTGAGGATTATTCTTGGTTTTCATTCCATGTCAGAATTTATCACCAAACAAATTCAATTGACTGAAAAGCTGTAAATCCAATACAGATTACCCATCTCCAATAGTTATTAGAATTTGATGAACTCTGACTGACTTTTTCATCCATGGAGCAAAAAAGTTCACATGCTCCTGAGAAAAATCTTCAAAGGAAATGCATTAACACCCCAACTATCTGATAATCTCTCAACCTTTTAGACAGCTAGAATCTTCACGGTGTCAGTAAATCACTTTTGCGAAGCAAGTTTGTCTAAATTCTGATGGACAATAATAAAATCTAGCAAACCACCAAAGGATCTATTAACTATGGCAATATTGCCCTGCAAAGTGTCAAATCAAATTCCTTCCAGTTCTAGATGGTGAGTCATTTTCAGCATTAGGGACCAAAGAGAATAATGGGGATTTCAAAAGAGACTAAGAGTCTAGACTATGACATAACCAAACCTCTCAAAATGCACACAGAAACTGCAGATACAGTCACACTCTATGCATAATGGTGAGGAAATTGAATCAAAATTTGATGACTAACTACAAAAAGATACAAAGCTTTGAGGAAAGAAGGGTAGATTTTTTGATAAAATGACTATGTCAAAGAATGGTCTATGTTTATCAAATCTGACAGGAATTGCAAATTTTGCTAGAGAAAATGAATAAATAAGCAGTTGTGACTAATGCAAGAATACTGGATTGCAACTGCCTGAGAAATTCAAATTGCATGTTTCATATTCAGTCTACCAATATATTACTTGATATAAAGCAAAGACTCAGCATAGAAAATGTCTTCCAGTAAAGTACTTGAAGATATCTAAGAATGTCTCAATGTCAACTCAATGGTACATTGCATACTGGACTTTTCTTCAACAGACCCCCATCCCTCCCACCCACCCCTTTTTTTTTTTAAAAAAAAAGGTTTATAGCCTGAAGAGAACATATTAAAAAAAAGGTTTATAGCCTGAAGAGAATATACTAAAAAAAAGGTTTATAGTCTGAAGAGAACAAATTTAAGGCCTATCCCCTTTCCAGCCATATACCCTCTGAATGGTTATTTTTAGATCCCCATCACTTGGACTTACCCTCACACACTGGGCAGCACTCCCCCTCAATGTGTAGTCTTTTCTCTTCCGGACAATTTAAATTGGGACAACTGACCTCTGGGTCCATCCTCTCACACTCCATATTGCCATCCTAAATAAGAAGGAAAATTTTTTTTAAAGAAGAGCGAAAGTTCATGACATTTAAACTTATGAATCTTTTTTTTATCTCCAAACACACAAGAGTCAAGGAGGAAGTTATAAAGAAGAGGACTATAATATGTATGAATGAAAAATGATTAAAATGTTCATCGTTCATAAATTAATGTAAACATTGTGAGCAGAAAATACATGTAATAAATTGGTTAAATAGCTGGCTTAATTGTTTTGTCTCTCCAATAAAATAAATAGATTTAAGACATATATTCATCTAATAATGCATGATGGCATGGCTTGATATAAACTGAGATTTCTATTTATGATTCTTATAACAGATACTAGTATGTTTAAATCTTTTACCAAAATACAGAAATTCAAATAAAAGATATAACTGAATCACAAAACAAAGAAAGCCCAGAATAACGGGCCCTTAACCCTCTTTAAGGAGGTTTTGGCTTGTATTACATAATTCTTCACTCAGAGTACACATATAAAAGCATTCCTTCCACAAATGTGTATGTCACTGTGCCACATGGTCTTTTGAATCTGAAAGTAGCTCTTTGTATCAACAAAGCACATATCACCATGTTCCTCCTTATTGTTAGAAAATTTAGAATCGAGGAATTTCTTTTTATTTCACTTGGAAAAAGAGGAAATCCATCTTTGATTGAAGAGCTATAATCTGTTTATCTATACATTGAGATACAAGGTACTCTTACAATATCAATGATTTAGGTTTGAAGGAACAGAGAGGAAATTCTTTAAATATCATAATTTATGTTTTTTCAGCTTGTTGTTTTCACCACACAAAGCTAACTTCACTTTCATATTCTTTTACTTACATAAGAACGAAAAGCAAAGATGTGTTTATTTTCATATACAACACCTGGCTTTCTTTATTATCACATAAGTATATGTAAAAAGTAATTCCCCTTTTAATATCACTTCACAGGCAATTTTCTAATTAGAAAAGAAGATATACTAGAGATGAAAATTATCAAACGACTTCAACATCTTTCACAAAAGGTGTCCAGAACAGCTGTTTGTTTCCAACAGGTTTCCTTTTCCCTGGATAAAATATTTCCATGTTTCTTCATAAATTTCAAAATTTTATTAATTAATAATTACGTCATAATGGAACTGGAGATCAAAAGATGATAATTAATTTTTCAAATCTTCAAAACCACATAAAAAATATAAGAAAGCACAGGAAATGTATTCTGATTAGATTGTTTCCTTTGAATTTTTATTTTTATTACAGTATTTACGTAAATACATTCAAACATATCTAAAATACTGTAACAACCAATTAGCTGGATATTTACCATCTAGTATTACTCTATGACGTCTTGCCCTCACTTTTCATTCATAATCCTGAGTACGTCCGAATAATTCTTTAAATTTAACAGTTACCTTAGATATAGGGTATAATTTCTGTTTGCAAAGTTGAGAAACTATAACATAATGTCTACAGACAACAAAAACTTACATTATAGGAAAAGGTGACAGGTATACACTTCATATACATAGATATATGGTACTAAAAACTTACAGGCAATAAAAATTTACATGTACAGGTATCAAACAGTTACAGTACATTAAAGGTTAAAAACACTTATATTACAAGTACAAGCAACACAGCCTTACATTACATTCTGTGACATGCATAACATCTACAGGTGAAATACATTACATATATAGGTGACATGCATACATGTACAGGTGACATACATTACATCTACAGGTGACATACATTACATGTACAGGTGTATAACATGTACAGGTGACACACATTACATGTACAGGTGTATAACATGTACAGGTGTATAACATCTACTGGTGACATACATTACATCTAGGGGTGACATACATTACATCTACAGGTGCATAACATGTACAGATGACATACAAACATGTACAGGTGACATACAAATGTGTACAGGTGTATAACATGTACAGGTGACATACATTACATCTACAGGTGACATACATTACATCTACAGGTGCATAACATGTACAGGTGACATACATTACATGTACAGGTGTATAACATGTACAGGTGACATACACTACATGTACAGGTGACATACATTACATCTACAGGTGACATACATTACATCTACAGGTGACATACATTACATCTACAGGTGACATACATTACATCTACAAGTGTATAACATGTACAGGTGACATACATTACATCTACAGGTGACATACATTACATCTACAGGTGTATAACATGTACAGGTGACATACATTACATCTACAGGTGACATACATACATGTACAGGTGACATACATTTTATCTTCAGGTGTATAACATGTACAGGTGACATACATTAAATCTACAGGTGTATTACATGTACAGGTGACATACATTACATTACATGTACAGGTAACACAGACTTACATCATATGTACAGATTAAACACATTTTCATCACATGCACAAGATAACTATACTTACATTACATGTGCAGGTGACACAGACTTTCGGACTGACACTCTCTCCATGATGGTAATATTTCCCATTAAAGTAACAGTTGGCTGCAAAAAGTAAATACATCAATTCAAATTGTACCTATTAAATTTATTTCTGACAAAAAGTAGCAAAATATCTGTCTGTAATTTGCTTTCCTTTCAACCAATAACCATAATCAAGTCTTAAAAGAGCTAAACATATAAAGAAACAAGGCTAATGTGTCTAGACTCTTTATTGACCTATTTGAAACCTTTTATTAATATTTTTCCAATTTTAAGGTATTTCTGCAAATGTACTGCTAAATGCACTGTTATATTTGTTGCACATTGACAGACTTGGCAGCGTGATTCGTCTGTACAGGTGCGTCGTGTATAGGGCTATGAATGGAACACACAATAGATAAGCGTCTAGTGACGTCAGACCGATCACAGCTGCAGCTCGCCCGCCTCCCTTACCTACGTGTTGTAGCAATATACCTTACTGCTAGTTATGATTATACACTTTACTATTATACATACCACCTTGTTGAGTTAGGAGCTGATGAAGGAATTTTTTAATAAAAAGATTTGGCAATAGAAAAATTAACGGATTTTATGTTTAAAGAGGGTTGATTGGCCTAGTACTAGTATTATAATTCAAGCTTGCAAAGAATATTCTAAGCCTTCTTTGTACTATTTCTACAGCTGCACTGGATTTTGTCATTAACTTGCACTTATCTTCTCTGTTTTTCCAATTTCTTTTAGTGTATTTAAAATCAGCTCTTCCCATAAAATCGATTCTTAAGCAACCCATGAATAATTTGAATTCAGAAAATATATCTTGCTTGGTGATATTTTGTTATTCGCAGCTATACATCTTATTTTTTGACAGAATATAGCAGCTTTTCTCTCAAGAAATAAATTATTCACCAAAACATGATTTTATGGCCATTATTATTGTACAAAACACCATTACTCTTCACCCACAATTCAAAATCATTTCCTGCCTTTTCACTCCTTTCACTGTGCTTTTTTTACAAGTGCTCCCCAGAAAGAACAAAAGATACTGGAATTATACATTACGACCTCTCCTTCATAACATCGACATAAAATGTAATTTTACTGACAGCTAAAACTGTTGTAAACTGAAAATATATGAATCCTCCGAATGCCCATCATTTTCCCTCTATATATTACACAACTGTGGGTGGTAAAGGTAGGTATATAATGATGAAAACCTATTGGGAAGGTTAAAATCTATGTGAACACACTCAAATTTTAGTATGGCTGCTCCAAGAGCAGATGTCAAAAACTCGATAAGGACGTGCAAGAAAAGTCGTAAACTTTATACGAAGCATAAAATATATTTGATAAATTATATCATTTTTTTTCCTCAAAAGTTTGTACCATTATGTAATAATCTGAATAGTAAAGAATATTTTTGATGTATGTATACTTTGCAAAATCATCCTAAATATGATGCATGTTTTCCGCTTATATTTTTCATTAATAACATTTCATATCATGAGGAACAGTGCATGAGCATTGCATAAAATATTTTTCCTAAAGTCCTTAATATAAATTCTCTATTTTTATCATTTTTTTCCTCATTCTTTGAATAAAAAGCTGCCAGGATTTGTCACTCTTCGCTGAACAAGAAACGATAATAAAATGGTGTTTATATTCGGAAGATAACAAAATGAAACTTCAGAGTAATTTATTTTGACACACTTCATATCCTAGAGACTAAAAATGCCTTCCTTGATTCAATTTTTCCTTAATTCCCTCAACATGTCCTGTTTGAAGAGATCTTTGAAAAGCTGCTCATCAAAAACAGGGAACAAAGATTTTTAATCTCCCACAGTTCCAGGATGGTCATAAAATCCTTACTCTTGTAAAAAATCAAAGCTTGGGAATTCATATTTGTCATTTTTCACTCAATTTAAAAAGATTATGTTCGCTTTGTACACCCATATAATCAAATCAGAATTTATCAATAGTACAACAGCAAAAATTCTTAAGTGTAACTTAATATGTTACAAGATTGTTTCTCCCTTTATACATGGTAAGGAACTCTGAGGACACTTGTACTTACTCATACATAGAGGGCAGCACTGTCCCTCTCTGTACACGGGGTGATCACAGAGGGCAGGGGGGCAATCTAGCTTCCTGCATTGTACAGTCCCATTCTGAAATATAAAATCAGATGTGCATTTACATGTAAATGTACAAGAAACCTGTCTTATAAATCTGACATGCACTTGGAGACAAATTTTGTTTCGGAATAGACAGGGTGTCGGATTGCATAGTTTTTAAAAACAAGGTAAATACTAAAATGGGAAAGAAATTTAACGTCGGAATTCACAGTGTGTCGGATTATTCAGGTGTCAGATTAGACAGTTTTCACTGTATAAACATAGCAGCACAAGATACAAATTGCCAAAAGAAGCATACAAAATAATGCTTTAATGTTGTATTGTGCATTCTCTGAAAAGCAAAAACTAAGATGAACTAAATTGACCCCATTCTTGTCATATAAGTTTTTTTTTGGAATCATTGATGACTCAAAAGTTTTCATTCAGTCTATAAATATGACTGGAAAATAAAACCAGGATTTTTTTTTAAAGGACAAAAAGGTTCCAATGGAAGGTAAAAACAAATTCTAAGCAGAGGAACTGTCTGAAGAATCTAAATGAAGCTTATTGACTTCATTTTTCCTGATGTAATTTAGTGCAAATCTATTTCTTGATGCATTCTGGAATTTAAATATATACTCTCAAAATTACTACAATTTTTTTTTTATATTTCCAGATGTAAAACAATTTTTTTTTCAATACATTTACACTAAGCAGGCAAAAAAACTAGCACTTTTATTTTTCTGGCCCCAATTCAACAGGTGTCAAAGAGGTGATTTTCGAACAAAATACATAATATCTCTAAACACACAGAAATTTGCCAAAACATCATTTGTTTACATTTCTTTTATCGGTCAGCGAACCAAGGCTCTGTCCAATACAGAAATCTTTTACCAACTTTTTCAGATCAAAGTATTTCCATCCCTGAACCATTACACCATTGTAGAAAGAGAAAAGGGGCATGTTCATTTTGGAAAAGAGAGTAATACAGAATCTGAATGGGATCATTGAACTAAATCTATGATTAAATGCGTATCAGCTTCTACAAATAACATCTTAAATACTTGAAGTGTGAGCAAGATTTATGAAGAATAGTAAACCATTCAGTACAAAAATAAAACCTTTTCACCTTTTCTACAACCCTTTTATTCCAGCTTTCAGTCTTAAAGTGTCTCTTCAAACTTTTTCTAAAGTCCTTGATTGAACTCACTTGACAGTGAAATAGCCTTTATTGAGTTCATCAACAGTAACAGAATATAAATTGAGCTCATCTTACAGTACAGAGCAAACATTACCACCTTTTCTGCAATGCCTTATTGAGCTCAACTAACAGTCACAGAGCCTTTCTTGAGCTCACCTTCTAGTCATATAACCTTGAGAATGCCGTAGTCACAGAACCTATACTGAGCTCACCTTACAGTCATAGAACCCTGAGAATGCCTTAGTCACAAAACCTTTACTGAGCTCACCTTACAGTCATAGAACCTATATTGAGCTCAACTTACAGTCACAGAACCTTAACTGAGCTCACTTTACAGTCACAGAACCTTTATTGAGCTCACCTTACAGTCACAGAACCTTTATTGAGCTCACCTTACAGTCAAAAAACCTTTTATTGAGCTCACCTTACAGTCACAGAACCTTTATTGAGCTCACCTTACAGTCACAGAACCTTTAATGAGCTCACCTTACAGTCACAGAACCTTTAATGAGCTCACCTTACAGTCACAGAACCTATAATGAGCTCACCTTACAGTCACAGAACCTTTAATGAGCTCACCTTACAGTCACAGAGCGTACACTGGTCGGGGTGCCACACCTCTCCCTCCTTTTTTGATGTCCCGTTGTAGCGACAGCCTTTGTGACATTCACACTGCTCTAGTTCTTTGATCCTTTTCTCTGCTCTCTGGAGCTAAAAACAGTGAGATATCTTTTGTCAGGAAGTGAAATAAAATGTAATGTAACTGTAATCCACTTGTAATATATAAATTTTAAATATATTATTAAGATGACTTTTATGAAATTGGAAAGAAGTTTGTACATCAACAACACAAGACAAAAGCTGAAAATCTGCGGTATACTATATATAGTGGTAACCACAATTTGCAACATAAATGTATTGATGCATGAAAATGACCACTTTCCATTGGGAAAGCAGATCATAAAAATGCATTTTATTTTAAAAATAAAAGCACTGTAAATGATATTTTTTTTCCATTTTCAGCATAAGGTAGAGATTTTGCCTGTTACACAAATGTTACACAAGTTAATTTTTCTCCAAATATTGTTATGCACTGTACATCAAACTTTACTAATATGAATTAATAAATTTACTTTTCTTTTAGAATTGAAAACATACATTTACAGTATGATAAAATCATATTTGAAAATGTATATATGATATAATGCAAAGAAAACACATTCATAAATATAGAAGAAACCAAATAACCAAGGATTAAGGAGACCAATAATGACTGGAGCTCTTTTGAAGATGGAGGTAATATTCTCCTTCCAAATTAGAGAGGTTATTATGGTTCAAACTGAACAAAACCCATTGTTGAATGTATAAACAACAGGGACATGCAGGCAAGGGGATTTGTTCACCTCAACCCTACCTTTAATAAAAGATTTTGGTTTAAGGAATACATTAATTTAACCTGTTCTTCTAATGCCTGATACTGTGAACATGTTGGACAATCTGAAAAAAAGAAATAAAATGGATGAACCATCTAAAATTAAGTATCAAACTTTACACAATTTTCTTGTTTAGAAATTAACATATGTGAAGTTTTTGTTCAATAAAATAGGTGATTTACAAATATCATAATTAATATATATTTTGAGGACAAATGCTTAAAGTGGGAATTGGGCAATGCTCTAACTTTTTAATTTACAAACCTGTTTCTTGAACTGGGCATTGTAAAACATATCCGTGAGCTTGTGTGACAATTTGTACATCTTGTAATCCCCCCTGCAAAACAGAACAGAGTCTTCTAAAACATATGAAAGTAAATGAAACCTTGTTATTTTAAACTCAATGGGGCACAGGAAAAATCTAAAGGTATCCAAGGGTTGGAGAAATTTAGGGCTAAATTGGGGTTAGGACTTGCAAATGACTGTGACATTATCCATTGTATCTGAGATAGTTGATGCTTAAGATACCAAAGTTCAACTAATCTGTGTTAGGACATTCTAAAATCTACCAACTGAAGAATGTGAATTCCATTGCATATGATTAATTTTTTTTTACAAATACAGATTATTTTTGAATATCATGCAATTTTTAAAAAATATATGACATTTATTAAAAAAGATTTTGCTATAATGTATCACCATAGAATATAAGGGATAATTACAGTGTAGCATATACAAAAAGGAAAAACTTAAAGTCTTTTTGAAATTTATACACTTATTTCTCTTAAACTAATATTATAAATGATCAGAACAACCTTTAGAAACTGTTACAAAATGCATACATATATCATAATGGTAAGTTTTATTGTAACAAAAATAGGACTAACATTGACGAGCCTTCACTATTTTGAGAATAAGCAATGGCTTTATAACAATTACGGATATGTTTCTGATTTGGGCACAACACCACTTGCTCAAAATCCTCCTTGAGCATAGAAAAAAATGTTCTCCTCAATGAGATACAAAAATAGGGGAAAGCAGCTAACAATCAATAATTATGAACAAAACACCCTGGAAAGTTTTTTTTTCCCTAATTCCATCAATTGTTAATGGTTTCTAGAAAACGCAATGTCTGCTCTTAGTACAACCTTAAACTAAGCCCTAAGGCAGTAAACAACATATTTTAAAAGATCTCCTGCATATCTTGCTTGTCTTAAGATGTATCACCCGAGCGGGTTAAAAAATAGATTGTTTTATGTCGAAGACAATTTGAAATATTGCCACTGCTTGGCAAATAAATGTGATTCTGAATGAAGAGCGAGAGCGTTTTGGAAGTTTATGTATTTTTTTCCAGACAGATATTTGCATCATGTTTTAGGGTGATCCCGACAATCTTCCTTCACACTTCACAAATCTTGAACACTTAACAGTGAAGAATTCAAATCATCATCATCTACCATACTCTCCATAAATTAATCTAAAAAACCTAGCACTTTTTACATCGAAATGTGGTGAACTTAGTTTATTTTCGAGAGAGAAAAAAAGACCACCTGACAAATTCGAAAATAAGACTTGGAGGTTTCAAGCATTTCTTTCTCTATTTAAATGTCTTCATTGTTCATGAGAAAAAATTCAGACAACCATACTAGCTAATCTTTTTCCAGTAAATGTATCCATGTTATAAGCTAGCTTAAACCAAAATTATTTGGTATACCCTTCCCTGATCTCTTCTCAAGGCCAATTCCTATTCCTATAGTAGTCTGTACTTGCATTGATACTCAGCAATATCTATAACTTATGAGTTAATTACATTAATTAGATACAGCAATATGAAACCATGAACCATTGACCAACTACACATGTTTCCTATTGTCATTCCTTCTATATTTTCTCTGTGCTTTGATAAAAACATAACAGTTTTCACATGAATCTGCTTTGTTTTGTTTGCTTTGGTGACTGTATCCTACATATTGGCTACTGCATTTATTTCTGTGAATGAAGTTCTTCTCATAGAAAAATCTCATGTCAAGATTTTATTAAAAAAGAAAATAGATGTTTGATTATCTTGCCAAAGAATTTTTTTATAATAAGGTTATTTTACTTACCCTGAATAATGCATGTTGTCTGCTTTGCTGACCCACAAATAACTGAATATCTGACGACGGTGGAACACGATCCACAATTTGTATATCATGTTCGTAAACTTTCAAACAGTCCACAAATATGGTCACATGATTGGTTGTCACGGTGACAGCCAGTTTGTGCCACTTATTGTCAGCTAGGCTGTATGGGAATGTTAAAACATAATGGTGTTGGTCATGTCTGTAGTGCACACGAATTTCATCTTGTTGGCCACTACTTTCAATCTCAAAAAACCTGTAAATAATGAAAATCTCTTTTTATGCAAAAAAATCAGAACAATCACATAGCATTATTTCAAATATTTAAACAATGATTAAAAAATATTGGTTAGTGTTTGGTATTTGAAAGAAATGCAAGTAACCCTGTCTGAAGTCATCCACTTTTAAAAATACAAGCTTAGGACAAAACCCTTCGTCAATGAAAGGTGCATGGGATTTGATAATTTTTAGATCAAATTGCAAGTTAACCTCCTTCTGAAGTCACATTGAAAAAAGAAATGCAAGTCACAACCCTTAACAACGAATGGATGGTTTTGTAGATTTTTAAGCATTAAAATTATTTTAAATGCATTCAAGTTTTTTAAATACCTGGGGGGGGGGGAAGTTTAATGTTCCGTTATTTTTTTTCTTAATAAGACATTTATTAACAGATAAATGAGTATCGATATGTTTCATCATTAACATCCTCTTATTATCAGAAATTAAAAGTAAAGATAAGGGTGTGGTAGACCACAAAACCATTTTTTGCTGACTTGTAGAATTTATGGCACTGTAACACTGTAATGTGACAGCTGTGCTATTTTACTGTTGTACATTTTTTTTTTTTTTTGCACTTGAAGAGCCTGTCGTGTGCCAGCAATTATGGTACACAAAACAGCAGGGAACCCCTTGTCAAATTTCATCCCATTCACCATCACCGTCTGAAAAAAAGCAAAGGACCAACCAGAAAGTCAGTCTTGAAAGCCACACCACCAATCAAAACTGCACCGTGAAACTGGCTTACATGTTTTCTGAATGGAGATCCTTCAAAAGGCAGAGAAGCTTAGCTTTTATAATTTGATTCAGAGTGGAAAATGTCTACAACTCCGGAAGTGCTTTGGTGGCAAAGTTGAACCATTAACAGCCGAATTAAAAAATGGTAAATGACCTTGGTTCCTCTCTCAAGAAGCAACTAAAGCACAGAATGCGACTTTTCATAGACTTTTATTTTATCATATTGTTCGTTCAGAACTTAAAGCAAATCATGAATTTTCTTGTTAAATCTTTTTAATACATGAAAACACCTCCCTTCATTTTGATTTGTTGATTAAAGATTTCAACTTTAAATAAATGACTAAACCTGCAAACTTGAAGAGAAGAATAATTGTCTTGAACCATCCTTCCATTACTTTATGTCAAAGAAGCAAATAGGGAAAAAAAATAAAGCAGCTGATGTTGCAGATATGTAGGAATTTGCTTGTTTAAATGCTTTATCAAAGGTACGAATTTGTTTCTTTGGCTGTATTCCTGTTTATTTGATTAGAATGATTAAGTTGACTTGGCAGAGACACAAATCTCATTGAATACCCCTCGCACACCTCCAGTCTGCTTTAACAATCACCGATATTCAGTTTGGCTAGGAAAAGTATCAATTGCCAGGAAAAACAATCAAGTCAGATAAAATCACGCCTCCGAACACCCTGACCGCAGGTTGATCACAGTGTCGGCGCAGTTCCGTTCCAAAAGCTATATATATAGGAGTTCTTATCGTTATACAAGATTAGCAATTAGAAAACATATAAGATGGAAAAAATGCTTTACAAGTCTGGCTCCCCATCAAATGGAAGGCACACCTTTACCTGACCTGAAAGTTAGAACAGACAAAGAGATATGACCTGTTCTGTATCTTTTTTTCGCCATAAAAATTGTGAGTTCTTCTTTAAAAAAGATTGTGCTCTTTGTCTTCCATAAATTTTACAGCAACTAGTGTTAAAATAACCTATAAATAAGAACAGGGAATAAAAAGAAAGAAAAAAATCCGCCAGTTTTTATCTTTCAAGCTCACCCACAGAGTTGTCCAGTGATTAAATTTTATTTTGGTGTCGAGAAAAAGCGAAAGGCAAGCCTATTTTTATGCTTAAGCCACATTTTTGGGGCAATGGAAATTAACACAGGTGACCTTGACGGTTGATAATCCAGTCATATGTTTGGAGGCCGGGCCATCCTTAAAAAATTTATTTTTTGGAAGTGCTCTGTTTTTTTTTTAGATGTCCTTAATTACTGGAACACACATCAAACAGGAAAATTAAAGCAAAACTCTTTTAGCTATTCCACATCAGTTCTTTTTAGGCAAACTGTTTCTGAGGAAAATAACTGACTCCACACTACTCTTGTTTCGGGATTGACATTTAGAAAATATAGTTTATTAATTAGCTGCAAATGTCATCCCAAGTGGAATTTTAAATTTCAAATTCATACTTGTATCTGTAAGGTGGAAATTGCAAATTTTTTTTCATTTTTTACTGTAAAATTTATTTACAACCTTCTTCTCTTTTGTAGATCACAAAGACGTTTTAATAGTGCTTTTTCCGAGACGTAAAAAAAAATATCAGGATAAAAACAAAAATGAACGTAAAAAAAAAGAAGATTTTTGTAAAAAAAATCCAGTCCATTTTAAAACCATTTTGAACACACAAAGACATAACTATTCCAAGTACATCTCTGTTTTAAATTTAAATTTCACTGAAGAAATTGCCAATTCTTCATTTAAAAAAAACCCATTTAAAATGTTTATTTTAAATTTCAAATTTATTGAAGAAAGTGCAATTTTTGAAATTTTTTTTTCCAAAGAAATCATGTTGTACAGGCAAAAAGAACAAAAACATTTTTCCATTTGAAAACCATTTCAATCTAATCAAAAACTTCAAGAAGAACCTCTGAAATTTGAAAAAAAAAATTGAGATGAGCATGAAAAACTCAACGTCACATAATCTCTTGATTTATATCAGTACAGTGTACCACGAATCCAAGACTATTAAAAGACAAAAACCTATCATTAAATTTATCACACAAAACGCCACAGAAACAGTAGATCTCCTACTAAGCTGTCTGACATAAATTAACCTCCTATACAAGAAACCCCCAACTCTCAATTAGTGACTCTACCAGAGTGGGAATATACATCTATAATCTAACAGACAAGGCGAAGGGGTCCCTCGGCTTCAATGTTGATCAGAAGAAAGATAGTTGTACTCAACTCCTTCAAAGTAATACTAGAAAAGATTATTATTATTAAAAGACCAACTTGAAGGAGGTTGAACTGCTATGGGGCAATGCCTGAACAAATTTTGAAAAAAAATCTGTTAATTGCTTTTCCTCTTTTAATTTTTATGCTTATAAAGTGCATGTTTAACTTAATTTGATCAAAAATGTGATAACAATGAATGATTTAATCAATAACTACATGTATCTCAAGCATGTCTAGCACACCCCCCCCCCCAATTAATTTTTTTTAGTTAGAATTTACACATACCTGTAAATATCTGAAGAAAAAGCTAAAATGCTACCAGAGTTTCCGATTTCTTGCTTCATGGTTGCTAGAAAAGTTAATTCACTACTGTCTTTAAAAATCCTTAAAGCTTTCCTCAACAAGTAATCTGAAACTGCTACGTTCCTACTGGAATCTGAAAATAGAGAAGAATTATGTCAATAATACATCATTTTAACAGGTGTAACATTCTTATAAGTTTAATTAATGATATAGCAATTAATTTCATATCCAGTACATGCATTCAACAGTCTAGAAATCTTCATGTCATATTTTTGAACATTATAATTTATGTTGATCTTTTATTTCCATATAATATGTATTTTGAATTCTTTACTAGAATGCAGTCTTTGATTATGTCGCCCCATAGTCCTACAAACTGCATCCCTTTACAAATGTTCATGTGTCCAACCTTCAAATACTTCAAATATATTAATTTTATCTGACTTCTAATGTAAATGACTTCTAAAGTGAAACTTATTTTTTTTCCCCTTTTGTCCTCAGCAATGGCTAAACCAATATCTAATTGACTGAAAATCATTTATACCTCATATACAAGACTTATACTAGAAATTTGATCCCCCTGCCCACCCTCCTTGCATATTTACAGTGTAGGTATGGATATCATTCCACCGTTTCCTGCACCCTCTCCCCCCCTAAACTTGCTTAATCAGCCAATATGTAGATAATAATGGGCTGTTATCTTTAGCACTATTTTTGGACCCTTCTCAATACAACACTGGCTGCTCACAGGAGCAGGGGATTGGGGAATCTGCTCCTTGAACATAAATGCCTTATCTCTTCTCTACATACTTCATCATGCCCCAACATTAATTTTACACAAAATAAAATTTGATATCAATTTTGATAAGCCAAAATAAAAGAATATCTCTCAGAGATATTTTGATTATCAAAGAAAAAATATCATGAATTGAATTTTGTGCCTACTTGTATATTAAAGTTCACATGACTTTGATAAAGGTTGAAGTCTATTATAAATCAGAACTTTAACACACAGGATATAAATTATATATTTGTATTAAATCAAGAAGAAAATATAGAAAAAAATATGACTTCAATTCAGGGGAAATAACTCCCTCTAGGAAAAATAATAAGTACGAAAGGGTGTAAATGGGTAAATATTTTCCTGATAAACCTCCTACACTATGGCGGTACACATCAAGAGGGACACCATTTTGACAATGAAGAGCTTGCTGTAATATAAACTGTGTTAGCTCCAATACTTCTTATTTCGTGTTGCAGCTGAGGGACCTTCTACATGATATATATGATGGGACAGAACAGAATACCAGGAATAAAGGTTATGGTAGGGTTGATGGTTCATTCCGGCTTTGATCTGACAAGAAACAGAGATGGAACTGCTTAACCTGCGGAGGTCTCTGTGATAAATGCCGAAAAAATAAAGAGTACGTGTTATCAAATGTTACGTCAATGGGGCAAAAATCATAGAGCCATGGCAAAAGAACTTGTCTACCACTTCAACCAACCCTACCCCTTTCAGTATATAATTTTTTTTATTTCTTCTAGAACTAAGAAGTAGTGTCACTGTGTAATCGTGCTGTTTGTTAAAAATATTCTTCCTCATAAAGAAAGACTACCAGAGGTATAAATAGAAAAAACCCAATATCTTAACTTCTCTATCTTTCCATCTACTGAGCTCTTTCTCTCTTTCACTTCTCTCTCTCTCTCTCTCATTCTATCCTCTCCATTCTTTCTCTCAATTATCAGAATATCTGAAGACTGCTTTGGACACTAAGCGTAACTGACCTGAACTGCAACCACCTAGCACTGAGACAAACAACTCAAGGTTCCAAAAACAAATTTGATACAAGCAACCCGGGACAGGAATATCAAAGGTAATGTCAGAATCACTGAAGATAATGAGCAGATAATTTGTGAATATTAGGAAACAACAAGGCCCCCTTTCTATAAGAGTCTTCCCTGTGGTTCGACACCTGCAGTGTGTTTATAATGCTGCAATGCTTTCCTTTCTGCTGGCAATACCTTTTGGGTGTCAACCAAATGCTCTAATTAAGGCAAAAACCACAAAAATGCATAACCAAGGAAACTAGCCCTTCCTAGAGAGATCTGGTATCCAATGTACATCTCTGGAAGTTGTTTACTTTATAGAGACGAATTCTCAGATCTTGTTATTATGAGCATCAATAAAGTCATTCATGAAAGCTTATCATGAGATAAAGATAAATGTGATACTATATATAAAACAATTTACATGTATATGTACACAATTAGCAACTAGAGCAACTTCATAGAAGATGCAACATTTTTTTTTGCGGGGGAGGGGGGGGGGGGGGGTTAATATAAAATATTTAATAAAGTCTCATTGTCATTTAACGTATATCATTTAAAAAGGTAAAGATCTAAAGACATTTAAAAGATGAAAAAACAAGAGGCCCATGGGCCACATCGCTCACCTGAGCACTGTGGCTAGGAAAAAGTAGAAATTGGTTTATTATTGAAAAGTTTAAATCCAAAAGTAGTCCCATGACCAATCTTGGCTTTGCTATTCTTGAGAAGAAGATTTTTAAAGAATTTTCCTATATAATTCTATGTAAAACTTTGGTTGGCCATTTTGGCCATGCCCTACCCCTGGGGGTCATGATTTGAACAAACTTTAATCTACACTACCGTAGGATGTTTCCATATAAGTTTCATCCTTCCTGGCACAGTGGTTCTTGAAAAGAAATTTTTAAAGAATTTTCCTATATATTTCTATGTAAAATTTTGGTCGGCCATTGTGGCCCCGCCCTACCCCCGGGGGTCATGATTTGAACAAACTTGAATCTACACTACCTGAGGATGCTTCCATGTAAGTTTCATCTTTCCTGGCACAGTGGTTCTTGAGAAGAAGATTTTAAAAGAATTTTCCTATATATTTCTATGTAAAATTTTGGTCGGCCATTGTGGCCCCGCCCTACCCCCGGGGGTCATGATTTGAACAAACTTGAATCTACACTACCTGAGGATGCTTCCATGTAAGTTTCATCTTTCCTGGCACAGTGGTTCTTGAGAAGAAGATTTTAAAAGAATTTTCCTATATATTTCTATGTAAAACTTTGGTACCTTACCCCCGGGGGTCATGATTTGAACAAACTTGAATCTACACTACCTGAGGATGCTTCCATATAAGTTTCATCTTTCCTGGCACAGTGGTTCTTGAGAAGAAGATTTTTAAAGAATTTTCCTATATATTTCTATGTAAAACTTTGGTCGGCCATTGTGACCCCGCCCTACCCCCGGGGGTCATGATTTGAACAAAATTGAATCTACACTACCTGAGGATGCTTCCATATAAATATGATCAATTTTGGCTTTGTTATTCTTGAGAAGAAGATTTTTAATGAATTTTTCCTATATATTTCTATGTAAAACTTTGGTCGGCCATTGTGGCCCCGCCCTACCCCCGGGGGTCATGATTTGAACAAACTTGAATCTACACTACCTGAGGATGCTTCCATATAAGTTTCATCCTTCCTGGCACAGTGGTTCTTGAGAAGAAGATTTTTAACACATGCCACAAAATTTTTATTAATTCCCAATTATCTCCCCTTGAATGAGGGCGTGGCCCTTCATTTGAACAAACTTGAATCCCCTTCACCCAAGGATGCTTTGTGGCAAGTTTGGTTGAAATTGGCCCAGCGGTTCTTGAGAAGAAGTCGAAAATGTGAAAAGTTTACAGACAGACAGACAGCTAGACAAACGGACGGACAGACGGACTACAGAAAAAATGTGATCAGAAAAGCTCACTTGAGCCTTCGGCTCAGGTGAGCTAAAAAAAAAAATTTTCAAATGATCTTTTTTTTCTGGTGCCCTTATCTCTTATTCTACTTCAGATTTCTATTCTGATACAACAAAAATGAAAGAACAATGCCAACATACAATGTCATGTATTGTACAATAATGTATACAATTCCTTAGATAAAACAAGCTTTTCTTGTCATCAGCAGAGTACAGCAGTCACAGTAGCAAATTTTTCTCTAACCCAGTGAGTGAGCAGGTCACATCACTTTTTGCAGATCTAGGGATATTTCTGAGAGCAATATCAGGACATCTCTACAGCATGTTGTTGTGTGCAGGTGCAGAATTGCCACCTACATCAGTGTTCTATCAGAGCATCTGTCAGACACCATCACAGTTAAAGGAATCAGCAAAGACGCTGCATGTGTGAGGCGCATTCCTCTACAATTGGGGACTTTTTCCAACAATGCTTGCTATGTCCTTGAGACATAGCAAAATTCTCTGTCTCGTCCGGGATTGTTTTCAATGGCAATCACAGAAAGTGCATGTTGGAAGCATGTTGCATGTTTTTTTATTGAATGGACATGTATCAGTCACTAGCATGAGGTGAAATGTAGTGTCTGGCATACGTAACCTTGTCCAACCAATCCCAAAGGGAACCATCCCAGACAACAATGTGTTACCAGCAATTAACATCATTAAGATCTTATCAACTGAGGAACAAGAAATAACCAATCTGACGACACTATGTCCACACAATGAAAGATGTTTAGAAATTGTAGATGGGTGATAATTACAAAGTTATTTTGTTGTCAGTTTTCCTAGTATGTGTTCCTGAAATTTGCATGAATTCTCTTGGAAGGAGGGTTGTCACAACCATTTCATGTTGTATGACAATTTCTGAAAAGGATTTTTACTTGGGAGAAATTTTCATCCGTGATTTCAATTGGATTTTAGGTCATAAACTCAATAGTACCCATGCTTCCTTTTTTGCACTCCATCTTTGGACCTATCATATATTTAAACTTCAACATTATGTACTCTCAAAAAAGCTTTTTTCAACATTCCTTTCAATGCATTTTGCTTTCTTTGATATTACAACTTGTCTGCTTTGAGAGTTCAGGCCTTCCATCCTCCATATTGATGAAGGCTCAAACAATAGCTCTGCCAGAATCATCAATGTTGTAACAATAATCACCCAGTCAGACTAGTTTGTCTAATTGAAGAAAAACATTGGCAGAACATGCCAACTAATGGTAACTGTATGATGCATATCAAAAGATTAATGAAAAAGGCTGGAGTGTGTTCTCAATTTATGAATGAATTTCTTGCCATCTGCATAATCAGCAACTTGCTCCTTCTGCCTGAAATTCTAACCTCAGCACCAACCAAAAAAGTGGAGTTAAAAATTCTCTGCTAATCTTTAAAGTATGAATGAATGAAAGAAATGGGATACAAGCTGATAATAAGCTAACAGCGGGACCTGCTCGTAGGCAGGCTCAGAGTTTAATTGCCTTGGACATTCATTCATAAACTAGATAATGACTTCAATCGAAAATATCTGCTTCCAAGAATCCTTTTCTGATGCCTTAGCATAGGCCATTTTGAGCTGGTAAATATATAGGTAACTGAATATATTAAGATCATCTTTTATAGATCAAAGAAAGATTTTATCATTGGTACAGGATACCCCCATTCCAAAAATCAAATGATTTCATCCTTATTTTTATTCAGACCAAATGAATATAATTTTCCTATTCATTATCATCTAAATTATGAAATTGATGTTCTCATACAATCCAATTCCATAATTCAATGGTGAATGAAACTTGAACCCTTTGAAAAAGCAGGCAATAGGATAGAATAGGACTATACAAGTGAAGTCGTGTTCCCAATCTCTAGTAATCTATGAAAGAAAGCTATCTGTGTATATCTGTATATACACACTTCTTGCATAAGTATTTCAGGGGCAAGACTTCAGGTTTTTTTTATTTATGTCAACTGATTAGGGAAAAACTTCGAATGTAGAATAATAATGCAAAGAATTTTCTTCATTCACAACTCCCCTGAACAAAAAAGTCTTTCAGCTGCTACAAGCATGTATTCAGCTGTTTGCAGATCTCATAGCCCCTTGTTAAATACCTAGCTCCTTAGGGACATACTCTAAGGGAAGCTGCCCGCTGAGTCGAGCATGTAAAGTAATACCAGACTTGCTGTGGTGAACTCACATGAACTCGCAGGAAGTGGGTCCCAGTATTGCACCTAAAACTGACCCCCATCTAAAGAAGTAGAAGTTATAGAATGTACCTGGAAATTTTCATCAATTTCAATTTCTTTGGTCTAAAACACTAGCTATTCATTTTTCTTTTATTTCTTGATCACATTCCTTTTACACTCAGTGTAATGCTAATTTAAAAGAAATTGTTTTTTATTTCAATTTCTCCTCTTCATAATTGTTTATTTCGAATTTACAGTCCTTGTGTTTTAGAGATGTGACTTTTGTAAACCACATATGATTGCACATTTGTTGTAAAAACAACAGGTTAATTTTTTAAAATTAAATTATGCCAAACAATGTACATTTTGGTGTTCAATTAAAATGAAAGCACTTGTATTCTTGAAAGAACTTGATCCTTTTTTTTTCTAAAGAAAATTTTTTATTTTATATTCAGTCTTTCAGTTTTCTTGATTGTGAAAAAAAATTCATTTGTTGAGTTTTTTGTTTGATTGTTTGTTCATTTGTTTAGGAGTTTTTTGTTTTGTTTTAAAATTCATACCATCTTTTATGTTATAGAAGAGTGAAGGTTAAAAAATTTCTCTTTTTGAGAACATTCCATAGAAAATACAGTTGTGGTGCTTACTGGTATTCCCTAACATAACACTTCAGATTCAAATGCTAAGCATGTTATAAGTTTTTAAATCATTCTTTATCCTTTCACACAACAAGCAAATTTTAACTGAAGTTGACACTAGGGAAACTGACTGTTAACACTGCATATTACTTAAAAAATATTGGAATAATACATTGACAGTTCTTGTTGCACACATTTGTAAACTCTGAGTTGTGCAATAGTATTGAGACATTTACAACAATACACAAATACACCTTTTATTTTCCAAGATGACTAAAATAGTTCAAGAGGTCTTAAACAGTATGCTAATTCTAGTACCCTAGAAACTGCATAAATTTGATGACTATAATCTTTAGGAATAGCTGCAAAAACTCTGTACTCAAGAATTCACAAAATCTAAACTTCGAGCAACTACAAAATTATTATCAAAAAATAGAATGTGAGATAAATATCAAGTTATTTTTGGTTATTCTGCAAGTTTAAAATAAACTACAGACTCTACATAACCTAAAAATGAATTTTAATATGCGTTTTGGTGCCTGAATAATGCACAAGATTTCATCTCATCTTCATTTTTCATAACAGATTTTCTCACTATTTAAGTGTGTGCAGTGCACAATATTGCATTCTGACACTATATCTTCTGTACTTAATGAAAATCTTATGAATTCAGTAACCATATATTTCAGTGTTTTAAGGGTCAAATTTAGTACAACCATGTTCTTCCTGGTGGAGATTTTTTGTTAAATCCCTTGAAGTGATGTAAAACAACAAAGAATGTGTGTAAAACCCCATTCAAACCATTTGTCTCTTACAAGTTACAACCCTTCCCTACTAATCAAACAAAGACTGTTTTCCACTTCATGCAGATTCAACTTCTGTCAATATGTTGTATGTCCATTTCTTGTTTTTTATCTCACCTTGCAAATAAATGGCTGTTGTGCGATTATTTTGCCCCGTGATGTTTGTAAATCCAGTGCGACTCTGAAGATTTGAAATAAGGTCCAGAACATCTCTAGTGGAATCCACACAATCTGAAAAAATACACATACACCATTTATATCAATATCTTTTTTTAATATTTGTGATTGAATTAATGGCTACATGTTAAAGATTCCTTATGTACAGCAACATCAACAGTCTACTGTATACAGGATTATTTTCGCCCTGTGTTATTTTTGCATTTTTGCACTTGCAAACAATTTTGCCCCATTATGTACATCAACATCTGTTTAAGAAATTATGTTGTGTAATTAAGATATGTTAAACACTGAATGAATAAAACGTTTCCCTGTATACAGATTGTCCACAAAATGGAGATTGTTCTATGTACTGTAAAAAAAATTTCTAATATGAGGCAGGATATTGACTAGTAAGTTGATGTAGCAAGGACATCAACAATCTTATTTACATCAACACTTTGCTGATTTCATGGTTGACATGACCTTACGTTTGTGAATACAATTTATCAATAAGTGAAATGTTGACTTTCAATTCTTTCCTTCAAATTGCTTTGACCATTTGAGTGGGGATGCCTACTCATCCATTGCACTTGATCCCACCTCTGCTTTCAGAGGTCTGTGTTGGGTCTGTTTATAATTTGTAACTGAAATAGACCTTTGAGAATGGTAACTGTTTGTTATTTTCATATTTCATAAATGTTGGAATCTATGGTTTTTAATTATATACTGTTTTCTGCAATCTGTCACTTTTTCAGTAGAAACTAGAAAAGCAAACCGGGCTCAGTCAGTCAGTATGTAGATGTGGAATATGCATTTAAAAAGAGAGGAAACTAGGTCAGGTGAAGAGGCCAGGATAATGATTTTAAACTAAAGCTGACCAGTTTGACTGCATTAATTTACTTGATGGGGGATTTTTAGCAGAAATTGTACAGAATATCAGCTTTGATGGGAAGTCTAGTGACAAAAGCTGTCTTCTTTTCAAACATCAAAGCATTCTGACCGTAATGACCATGGTGCTTCTTCTATACTTGCTGCAGCAGATGCCAAACCTGTTAACTAGAGTATTACTATTGATTGTTTTTAAGAATATGAATCATGCAAACAAGACTGATAGGGGGAAATGTATACCAATGAGTGTGTTCGTAAGTTCACTTCAACATATATCAAGGACATCTAAAGTGTACTCCTTTTACCCGAATTGAACTTCTATCATTTCAATGATTCAATTTTGAAGAATATGAATCATAAAAAAGCAACATATAATATCAGAATACAAACCAGTTCCAATCCTAAAAGGACTAACTTGCACTGAATTTGATGGAGCAATAAAAAACCTCAACCTCAATTACCATTCACTAAATACCAGTGTACATGTACATATATAAAGAATTCTTATATTTCCAGTCCAAAACCCTGATACCTTCCCCCCTGGATGAATCATCCTCCTATGTCAGTATATAGAAACTCCTACAAAGAATCCTGTATGTATGATTAAAGCCCAGTGATCAAGTGCAAAGATATTATTGATGGGATATTTCATTTGCTTTCCTTCTGCATGATAAATGGTCTGAGATGGCATGAAGCATCATGTTAGATCATGCTTTTTGTCAGGTTTCTCAAAATTTATGCTTAATGTGCATTTCTCATAATTCCATTTATTCTAACCAAACCAAACCTTGTCATAGGTGTAAAGTCTACATAACATTGAAATTTAATTGTCATTTTCTTTTAATTACACCCTGGCCAGCTAAGTGAAAGACTAACAAACATGTTATTTATGTGACAAAACTTGTTATTGTTACCTTACAGATGGCCAATAAATAAGTTTTAATTAAAAAAAAGTCTTTATATTAAGGCTGTCTATACTGCAAGATCAACCACCACCTGTTAAAGCCACCTTGGTAGTTGAAAATTTCCAAACTCCCTTCACTTGTCAACATTTTTGAGGTCTTCACATTCTCTGCAGGGCATCTCAAGCATATTTTACAGTCTAGACAGACAACTTCTGCAGTATCTTTCCCATTATCAACCCAAGATCTGGGAGTTACATAATCAGGAAGCAGATTTGGAGCCTTGTTTATTTAGTCTTTTATTGCAGAAATAAGCAATTAGGCAAAATGCTTAACATTTTAAATGTCATCAAGGTATTCGATTTATCAGTGGTTTTTATTTTAGAAACTTTTAATGTCACAAAAAACCTCTTAGAATAGGTCACAATTAAAGAAAATCATGGTCATGCCATATGGAAAAAGTAACATCCTTTTCTCCAATAAAACCAGATTCTACAGTATCTGTCTGGGTTTGATCTTGCAATTATTCAAGGTCACTGGTTGAGACATACAAATGTAATTATTTCAAGATAAAATCTTCTCAATTTCAAGAGCAGTGACTGACCTTCTTTATTTATTCTTTATTTTCTCATGCAATGCCCAATTGCCACAAAACACTTCCCACATTTGTTTATTAATGCTGGATTTCCAAGAAGTGTTTATTCATTCAGAATTTCTCACCAACTTAATTGGCACCCAACACAGAGAAGTAATGTCTAGATTTCTAAAGGTCAATTTCTTATCAAATAATATTGTACCGAGTAAATTATTAGTTAATTGACCTGATGTAAAATAGTAGCTGGATGCAAAATAAACCTCTTAAAAAAGAGATCTTCATTTATATCTTCCACTTAAGAAATATGTTTTGCACATGATATCAAAATAATAAAGTTAAGAAAGATCAAACTTCAGCAAATTTAGTCAAGAGGCCAACCAAAAAGTAGCAAATAAAATTGCATTAAAATACATTTGTTCTTTATAATTTATTACATTTAACCCACAAATCTCTTTTTCAAAGAAAATACATTGTATGTAACTAAATGTTTAAAAAAAAATGCTGATCCAAAAGTTGGTTACAAACTAAAGAGTCGATGAACTTTTGGCATATTATATCATATATCTGTATGTGACCTTAGTGTGCAATGTTGGGCAGGATAACACACAGAGATCACAAAGCAATGACAATAAACAATGCAGTCAATTTACCGCAGCATATATCAACAGATAATCCCCAGTCTGTTAATCACTGCTAATCCTCCCCTGTAATCCTTGCCATGTATCTGATGAAAGCATCATTCCCACCGTGAGATTCCCAGACACATTAGGGCTCATTAAACTGTGATTCAAGTAATTGTTTGGGAAATGAATAGCTCTTCCCGTTGCAGGAAAACACATGCTAAAGGCATGTTAATCTCTCTTAAGCATGTTAATCTGGTTCAGAGAGCTAATAATCAGTTGGGCTTTACTGTAAGGTGAGTGCTTCATGCATTCAACTTATGAGGTCTTCCTTGACCTTATTGATGCCTATGTTCATTCACAACTACTAGAGGAACTTACTTTTTACATAGCCACTTGAATAGAGAAGGAAAGGGAAAATGGTTCTGGTATGATTTTTGCATTTAATGTAAAATACTTGAGAGCATTAAAAAAAATTTCAGTTTGCAAATTATGGATGTAAAAACAAATTTACTTTAATTTTGAGCACGGTTTTCTGATGACTTTCAAGAAGAAAGAAAAAAATCTTTTGAAATAATCATTAATCAAAGAGAAAAAGACAGCAGTTTGACTATTTAGTTATCAAAAGCTCAAATTCCAATCCAGGGACCTTATCAGGACACACTCATTTTTATAATGGACACAACACAACTATTCAGAACAAAAACTCGATAATTGCATTAAAAGCAAATGCCACAGACCTCAGTATCAAAATTATTCATTGGGAAAAAAACTTTGGATTAAATAAAATTGTTTTTAGAAAACAAATAATTATGCATTCCAACACTTTGAACAATTAATTGCTTTTATCTATGTTTCTTTTTTTTCCTGATAATTTTCTTCTGTACAAATTCACAAAAAACTGCAAATTTTATGTACACAATACTACCCTAGACAGCTCACTGTTAGTGTTCACAGATCAGAAAGAGCAAGGATTTCCTCTTGTATATAAATAATCAAATGAAATATTGGCAAAATACAACATTGTATGAATGTATATCATATTTGATCACATTTTCACATATACAAAGCCCTGGTTTAACATGCTCTGAGATGTCAAAACAAATAATATTCTAGGTTTGTTTATCGTAGGAAAGATTCAATTTATTTATACACTGTTAAGATGGGGAATATGATAAAAACAGAACATCAGTTTTCTTATCCCTTTACTTCATTGTTAATGACTTTTTTCTATGATCATATTTCCCACTTCACACCTAAGGCCTTTTTGCAGGCATCAATTTTCAATTAATGAACAAAACTATTAATTAAGGTGTATAGGAATCCGAACACAGACAATAATTGCTCCTTTTCTCAAGTTTTTTTTTGGTAGTTGTTGAAGATGCTGAAGGATGGGTAGGCCAAGATCTTCATGCTTGGCACCATTTTGACAAGAAATCAGACCACTTAACTATGATGACCCATCAACATATTGGCTGTGGCCTTATGCTTCAAGAAACAAACTCTAGCAAAAAACTTGTTAGCGGAAACACTTGGAGAAAACAATTACAACATCACAAAAAAGCATTACCAAGAAAGGAAACATCAATTTGATAGATTATCATAATTCACTCAATAGTTTTCATAACACAGAAATCATTTGTTAGCCAAAAGTTTTTTCTGCATTCATTGAAAAAAAAATTGCAATAGTTCACTTTTCAGTCATGTCTGACTTCTTATAAAAATGTTAAGAACTTAGTCTTGTCTAGATATAAAAATAAATGTGAAGATAAGCAGAAAAGAAAATCATAACTTCACAGGATTTGAATGTGCCTGTATCAGTTATACCTATCTAGGAATAGTGATACATCTTGAATAATCACACCGGATCATTTCACAATTTCTTTCTTCTCTATTACCAAATACACTGATATCTGCCTTAATAAAAAGTCTTGTCTTGATACCAGTCAAAGTGTGAAATTATTATTTAAGAAAAGGCAGACAGCCAAACTTTACTTGAAGATTATATTCTTTATCTTGGAATGAAGGATTAATGGTGGATGCATGCTATTTATCCGCAGATGAAAA